ATAAGAGACAGATGTAGAACTTTAGGATTTTGGGGATGGGGCAGGGGGGAGGGAAGGTGTGTGGAACTGGAGAGGGTTAACAGAACCAGTGCGATCTGCGTCGTCCCCCTACCACACTCGGAGCATGTCACTGCCGCCGAGCCCACGCAGCAGCCTGCATGCAAACGCTGTCTTCTCCCACTGACGGGGCTGGGGAACTGCTTCAGGAGGAAGGTGGGGAGGGTCGCTGGGTCACCCCCCCCACCCAGCCCCCCGGGGGGCAGCGTACAGCACAAGGGGAGCGGAGGGTCCCCGCCCCGGGCCGTGGGCTTGTCACTTATAGAAATTAGACGGCTGTTAGGATTCCTGTTTCTTAACCGCGCTTTGATTTTTTAGGGCTTCAGCCCTGGTTTTCCCTATAGGGTCTAGAGTGCTTGTGTTGAGTAAAAGGGAGAAGCCCAAACGTTCAAAGCTGCTAAATGTTCTCTTTGCCATAAAGATTCAGTGTAACCGTGTGATCACATTATAGGATTCTCTTCTGTCCCTAGGTGTTGGTCTGACTTCCTTTGTTTTCAGGAGGGGGGTGGGGGTAGTGCCTTGATCACTGTCCGTCTCCGCCACGGAGACGATCCTAGAAGCTGTATTTACAATATAGCACAGCTGGGAGTGTACTGACTTTACCAGCAACTGAAAAAAAAAAGCTTAAAAATGGCTTTTCCTAGCCAGTCCTGTGCATGTGATACGGGGTGAGGGCTGCGCGTCGGAGGGAAGACTCGGGGTGGTGACTCGAGGGAAGGAAACCTGGTGATGCAGGAGGGAGGCCTGGAGCAGCCCGCGGCGCTGCCCGGAGGGGAGAGGTCTGGCCCTGGGCACAGTTTTCCAGGCTACGGGGAAAGCAGTTGGACCTCCTCGGGGCGTGTTGTGGGGGGGCCGGTGTGGGACGGACTCGCCCAGGCCCTGGCGGACTCTGTCCTGGACTCCTGAGACTCAACGGCTTTACTTAAGCATGAGATGAAGCACAAGTGGTGGAGATGTGGGTGTGGGGAGGTTGGAAGGGAGCCCTGTGTGTATGTTTTAAATTATTTTCCTCTTAGAAACTTTTATTTTAATGATCTGTGACCTGTCAGGGAAAGAAGAGAGATTGTGTGAGCACAGGACAAAAATAAAACGGCTTATTCACTGTACAAGCATGTTTCATGGATTTCTTTTTTTAAAAAAAAAAAGATTAAGCATGTCTGGGCAACAAAACAGCCTCTGCTTGTGGGTCCTTCTCCCCCACGGTAGCTCCTGGCTCGGCTGGGCTGAGCTGGGAGCAGGTTGGGTTTGCCTCCAGCCAGGGTCTGGGCAGGGAGCGGCTGCCATCCCAGCCTGCAGGTAACAGCCTCGCAGGGGAGGAAAATGAAAAGCTCCTCGCTTGTGGGAAACACGACACAATCTTCTTAAAGCAAGCCCAGGAGAAGTGCGTTTCCAGTTCAAGGTGGAGCAAGTTCTGGGTCCAAAGGCCCAGCCCCACTCCTTGGCGCTTCGACTCCCGTGCCCGGAGCCTCGTGTCCTGCTCTGGGTGAGCAAATGGCCTCGGCGCAGCTCGAACCTTCGCAGTAGGTTTGGGCTGTAGCGTTGGTGACGGAGCCAAAGTTTATTCAAGCCCGGGTGTATTTCTATCGGGGCTCTGCAGGCCGGCTCCTGCCCCGGCTCCCTCCCCGCAGGACGAGGCCCAGGCAGGCCCGGGGAGAGCCAAGCGTTTGTTTGGAGCAGCAGAGCTGACAGCGGGGCACTGCTGACCCCCCTCACTGCCCCTTTGGGCTAGTGGCCTGGGGAAGGTCTGGCTGCGAGCCCGCGGGCAGCTGCCAGGCCGGCGCTGGCTCTAGCCCCTGTTTGCAGCCTCGTTGCCCAGGCAGGGCTCAGCAGAACTCGGTTCCCACCCAGCTGAGCTCAAGGACAGGCCCTGACTTTGCTGGGGAGCAGCACGGGGAGGGGGACAAACGGCTCTTAAACCCGGCTGGCACCAAAAACCTCCGTCTTGAGGCAGGCAGGAACCCAGGGCCTGCAGAAGCCGCCACGCGCAGCTCGGGTGAACAAAGCGGGGCTGGAAAACTGCTCCTGGGAAATGCTGATGCACCAGCAAGAGACCGGGCCGGTGCTGTCGCTGCACTTAAAAAGCAGCATTTTGGGATGCCTGTGGCTCAGCGCCCTATCAATCATTTCTATATATTTTTTAGTTCTAGACGCCTTTCTCAAAGGCTTTATTACCCACCGCCTTATTGGCACGTTGCGTTTTCTCATCTGGCAGCGTTATTATGCAGCAATTCCCGCGCCCTGATGTTGAATATTCAAAGCCAGAACGCCCGGGTGAGCCGCCGCGTTGGGGGGCACCAAAGCCTCGTGGCCACCAGCCTTGGCCACCAGCCACGCTGCCAGCCCTGCTCCTCTCCCCGGCGGTCTTCCACTGGGCTTTCCGTGGGGTAAATGTCATTTTCCTGGGGATTAAACCTCTCCTTACGGGACTGGAAGAGTTCATCTACTCCTGCTGCCGGAGTTGAGCCCAGGCCAGCTCTACACACAGCAACGGCTCAGCCAAGGGGAACGCGAAGCATTAAAATGCTCGCTCCGAGGTGCTTCCCGTCTCTCTTCCCAGGCTCTAGGGTATTTATTCCAGATATTCCTTCAGGGGCTGTTTTAGAACGTAATACCGGCTTGCAAAAAAAAAAGAAAAAACAACCCACCAAAAAAAAAAAAAAAA